TAAGTACCATGTACTTGCTCGAATCTGAGCACAATGAGTGACACAGCTACAAGTATTATCATAAGTACCATGTACTTGCTCGAATCTGAGCACAGTGAATGACACAGCTACAAGACGAGTATTATCGTTAGTACCATGTACTTGCTCAAATCTGAGCACGAGTGACACAGCTACAAGTATTATCGTTAGTACTAGCAGAACTGAATGCAGATATGCAAATTAAACCCTGATATTTACTGACCTGGGCCTGGTTGTACGAAGGGTGGATATTGCTATCAGACTGATAAATCCTTAAATGCAGTTGATAAAATGATGCTGTTATCCAATAAATTTATAATAATAATAATAATAATAATAATATTTATTTATAAAGCGCAAATACAAATCTGTTCTAAGCGCTAGTAAACAAACGACAAAGACAACGACAAAATAAAATTATTTACAAAGAATATGCTAATTTGAAGAGATAAGTTTTAAGTTCAGTTTTGAATGAGGCAAGACTTGATGCATTTCGGAGAGATATTGGAAGTGAGTTCCAGAGTTCAGGAGCAGCCACAGAGAAGGAGCGATGACCATAAGATTTAAGATTATAAGAATGTGCTGATAGAAGAACTTGTGATGCAGAACGAAGATTACGGTTCGGTTTATACACTGAAATGAGTTCCCGGATATAGATAGGAGATTGGCCATGAAGAGCTTTAAAAGTAAGTAATAGGATTTTATATTTGATTCTAGATTCAATTGGTAGCCAATGCAGATTAACGAGGATAGGTGTAATGTGGTCATGTTTATGGGAAAGAGTGATTATTCTGGCAGCAGCATTCTGTACAGATTGTAGTTTATCTAAGAGTTTGTTTGGTAAGCCAAAGAGCAGAGAGTTACAGTTGTCGAGTTTGGAGGATATGAACGCGTGGACGAGAGTTTCAGTTGTTTTCAAAGAGATGTATTTTCTTATTTTAGCAATGTTTCTGAGATGATAAAAAGAAGACTTGCAAATATTATTCACATGACGAACCAAAGTAAGATGCGTATCAAATATGACACCAATGTTCCGAGCATGCATTGAGGGCATTATCACATCAGAACCAAATTGAAGAGAAGGAAGAGTTAACTGTGGGCATATATTATATGTAGATTTATCTGTTGGATAGTGTATCCACCCTTACCAGGCCCTGCCAGTAAATCAGGAGCTACAGGAGAAAATAGCTAGCACCCCCCCCCCTCCCCACCCAAACAAAAAACTCCCTTAAAGAGTACTACAAGGACCAAGGCCATTTTTTTTTTGTTTTAAAAGGACAGTAAAATTCTTAAATATTTTAGCTAATTTGTTGAGCTTTTGAAAGATGGTAATGGTATTTAAGGGGAGTTGGAACCATGAATTAACTCATTATTAATCATATTAATAAATTGTTTTTATTCTAATTTTTAACAGAGTCAAAGAGCTATCAAATTAAAACTTGAAAAAATAGGTATGGCAAACAATAATTTAAGGACTCTTAAAGCACACCACAGCATAGCACTTGTCATTTCTTAAACTGATGTGAGAATGGTTGGTCGATAGATGGTAGTTTGTCTGCCATTTGATGGCCATTCAAATGGTCAGTTGAATATTAGTCAGCTGTTTAATGGTCATTTGACAGCACGCTAATAATCAGCCGTCATCACACAGGAATGACAATGAGATATCAGTCAGTTAATGGCTGTCTGATGACCATCTGTTGGCTGTTTTCTGGGCGTAAAAAGTCAAGTATTTTAGCAAGTACTGTACTAACAATACTATACCTAATGGCCGACTGTCAGTTGACAAATGACTGGTTAACCACATTACATCCTCCAACTGTCAGATGATTAGCTGCCATTTGTCCACCCAATGTCTGCCATATGCATTAGCTAGTATAAATTGTTTAGAAACTGTTGGCTGTTTGACAGCAGAGTAACAGTGGGATGTCAGCCAAAAGTCGTTTGACAGGGCATCTGATGTGCTGTTCTTGCATATATATTATTTACTTATTTAATTACCAGCCTACTTACTTACTTTTAAACATTAACTAACAATTTCGATTGTTAGTCTATGATTTTAATAGTCTGTTTTTATATTTTTAAACCCTCATTAGTACATAAATTAAGGAAAGAAGAGCAACATACTAAGGAAAATTCAATTAAACAAGACCAGAAAAAGCTCAAGGAATCGTTAATAGAATTGAAGCAAAGGCAAAGATTAGAGGTGAGTTATATAAAGTGAATTCAGTCTCACTGGAAAACTTGAACACAATTAATATTATTTCTTTATTAATTTTAATTTTCTTTTTTTCACAGATCTATGCCTTGAATAGAGTCATGACAGAGCTAGAAAATGAAAATTTCAAGAAATTCATGGATAAGAAGGAAGCAGTTTCTTTAGGAGTCTGAAAAAGAAAATTAAATAAATTACATATAAAGATATTATAATAAATTGCTATTTTTACGAATTTAATTCAGTAACATAAGTTTAACCTTTTCCAATTAGGGCATAATATATGTGTATGTTTCAGTTCAATTTAGTGACTTTAACTCCCCTACTAGTTTGAGGGAGCTGGTAAGGTAATCCTAGTAGAACAAGCTAGAGGGAGGGAAGAATTGCATTTTGCAGAGACTACTTTACCTTACTTCTACTTAAGATCAGTCAGACACTCAAACTGCCGCATGGCAAACTCGTGGATCCCCCCCCCCCCCCCCCCCCCCCCCCCCCCTGAATCCTACTTCACTCTTGAGATATTGGGTTTCCTGTGCTTATCATATGCCCCTCTGATAAGAGCGTTGCTTTATGCATCATCAACCTAGAATCATCTGACTTTTTCCCATGATGCAATATATTTACTCGGAAACTATTTAGTTTAAGAGGAAATTTGTTTCAATAATGACCAATAATGGCAAAAAGCACCAAAAACTAGACTTTCGTATGAGTTTTGATCTGAATTTTCGTCTTGAGTTAACACTCAAAACCTTTTTTACAATGTAAACAGTTAGAAACTGATGTACTATGTACTGGTGTACTATAAAATGCCTGTTTGAAGCGGTATTTTCAATTGTACAAAGATGCTTTGTTGCATTTGTGTTAGAATATTGCTTTGTCAGGCTTTTTAATAGAAAATATATGGGAAATAAGCAAGTGAAGGCCTAAACCTAATTTTCGAATATATTTTTTGCTTTGGGTTAACACTTTGATTCCACTTTCATCGGCCATCTCCACTTCCAAACATGTTAAACTTTCTAAATAACAAGATTTTACTCTTGTACGACAGCCATTTTCAAGGAAATAGTTTTTGGTGCTTGCTCACTGCTTGAATACGAAAAGAAATTTTCCATGTATTCAACTTGTCTTCATTCAAGCCTGTATAAGACTGACATATTTAATTTGTTGTTCTTGGTTTTTTTTATACTTAAATCCGAATAATTATATTGAATGCCATAAAAGTATTATTTTAAGTAAGTTCTCATTAAAAAAAATTAACTATACCTCTTTATGCTTCTTATATTCATTTATAGTATTCTTCATTAGTTCAGGAGCCTTTTTTTTATCTGATCTCTCATAATAGATTATTGTTTCTAAACTTTGCGTAGCCATGAGTTAAAAATTAAATGTCATGACACTGACAGCGAATATTAGAAGATATCTAAAAATCAACTGCCCACCATGCCACATGCCAGGTATAGAAATTTCCAATGAGATAAGTTACTGCTAGGAAATTATGTAGCTAACATCTATATGATTTTTCAAAACATATCAAAATAAGTCCTTGGTATCAATCTTACCATTTCTACATCCATTAAACCAGAAAGATACACCCCAACCATGAAGATCCTCCAAGCTTACAAATTTTTAATTGCCCCCATGCAGTCACAACACGGATATTGCCAGAAGTGACATCTATTGATTGGCACTAATTCCCATGGTCCCTTAATTTTTTTTGTTAAAATCTAAGAGGCCTATTTTGCAATAATTTTGCAATTTGGCAAAAGAGTGTGTTGAGACTGGGCGTTAAGTAAAAGGGGGTGGGAGGAAAACCGGATTTTGAGGACTATATGTAGAGAGTAAATTGCTGTATATTTATTTTTTATTTCAACTTAACAAGACCCAAAAAGGCCTTAGGTCTTGGAATGCACTATTCAGTATGCACTTTTCAGTATTCAACCTTTTTTGAAACAATCATTTTCAGTGTCTTACTGGGAAAGAAATTTTTGACTTTTAACCTAACTATGGCTATATCCTGCAACCTATTTTTACAGACTGATGGTGCTAGACTAGATGGTATATTTGTGGCATAATTTATAATTTTTTTACAAGTCATCTAAATATTAAGGCATAACTAAAACAAAATAAAAACAATACCGTTTATACTGTTTCTCGGCTGTTTGCACACAACTAGAAAATTACTTGGAGATTTTATCTTCTCGTGTTAAGAATATTTTCATACCTATATACTTGTTCGCTGCGCTCACTTTTAAGAGTATCATTTCAACACTCGAAGATATAACATCTGAAACTTGTGCCAAACACCAAACAGCATGAAATGAAGCGGTTTTAATATTTTTTGTCAACAAATGGTAGCTAGAATAGAATGACTAAGAATAGTAATACCTAAGAGAAAAGAAATTAAACTATAAAATAAGGTTTATCATGTTGTTGAGTTATTTTTCATAAAAATTCATAGTGGTAAAACAATTAATTTTGATCATGAGAAAAATTCTGATTCACATATGACGTAACGGGCTTACACAAACACCTATTAATTAAGCAGGAATAAAGATAATTTTACAACATCCTTACTTTCACTTCTTGCATGTAGGAAATAAAATTAAATTCTGATCACCTTTTATACGTCCATGGTAAATAGACGTAAATATAGCAATCTATATATCAATCTATGAAGATCCATGATTGGTCAGTGCAGTTGTTTCAGATGACTTTGCGGGCAAGTTTCATGAGTTTAAGCCAATGAGAAAAGTTGTTAGATAGCGTGTTACTATGACGTTAGGCCTCCCTGGGCCCCCCACAAATCTTAGCAAACCAACGCCCCTGAAAGCCGGACATAGCCGTGAACAAGATCCGCGAAGACTAGTTTATTTAGGAAGAAAATTTGCTAGTTTTATTCTATTTTACAGGTTTTTCAACCCAAACGAGCTGTATATTAGTACAAGTAAGTTTGATATGTTAATTCCTGAAAGTTAGTTTGTCATTGTGCTTGTTTGAAAGCTTTAATGACGCAGTTTACCGAGTAAGCTTATTTTTGCATGCGGTTTAGCTGTCCAAAGCCGCCATTTTTACTCGGTAACTTGTAAACTAGTTCACTTATTGTATTCTATTAGTCCCTGTACTTCATAATCGTGATTTGGTTCCATTTGTAAGTCTCAAATACCGAGATATAAGCTGCGAAAGCGCCCAATAAGCTAGTCGCAATAACCAAAACTCCATTAACAATTTTGGCTACCCTCAATCCAACCGACATCGACATGTAGTTTTCCTCATTCATAACTTCTAAGACACGAAGAAATAGCGGAACAACCACGGGTATATTCATTTCTGTTATAATCTTCGAAATCGAGTACTGAATCCAAGAGTCACTCCTAAACCATGGCCTATTAGTTACTTTAACATTTTCGTGTCTTTACCTTCGTCCATAATCTTAAATTTCGCAATTTCTGTGGTTTTGGTCTTCAGATTGTCGTTTTAAAATTTTAGGTTTAGATTTAGAACATTTCATTTTCTTCTCCAAATGTTGTTGTAAGATTTAAAGCTGTGGCGAAAAAGCTCGTACGACCTAGTACATTAAACCCTCCTTCGTAGCTGTGGTGTTGTCAAAAGGTGATGAAAACTAACCTTCACTCTTTTTTTTTTGCAGAAATTTTGGGTTTCTTCATAAATCGGCCATGCAGACTATAAAGTGTGTAGTAGTAGGAGATGGTGCCGTTGGTAAAACTTGTCTACTCATTTCTTACACGACGAATAAATTTCCAAGTGAATATGTACCAACGGTAAGTTTGCAACACCGCATCCACCACATTTCTTGCTACGGTATTTGCTTTCTAAAATAGTTATTATGAATACGAACACAGTATTCTAAAACTTTGTTACTTAAATTCAATATCTTTGTAGCAAGGATTTTGGAATCCTTCGAATGAAATCAACTCGTGAAACTTCATTTTTGTGGTTCTACGTTGAACCCGGAAGGTTGAATTACATATAGTTTATTGATTTTTGATAGCTTCCTAATTATTGGATTCTTGGAACTTTCCCTCTTCAAAAGCTCTTATGAAATTGTGAGGCATTTAAGCTTTGGGTTTTTCCTGTTTGTTTTTTTTATAGGTATTTCGTTGGTATTTGAGATTACTGTATTTCATAAAATTCTAAAAGATAGGCAAGAGCAATTTGATTTTAACACTGACAATGAAGGGGATACACTGCTGTATGTCACAAAGTTTGTGACATTTTTAGGCATATTACTAGGATACCTGCAGTTGCTTAGTCTAAGGGAAGCACAAGTTTTGTGCACTACTAATGCGTTGCCCAAGCTCAGTAATGTATGTAAATAGAATTGCTTGTTTGTTCACTCCTGTGCTTCAAGAATTTTTTATTCAAGATTCCCCAGTTTTCCAACCCTTATAAAAAATCCTTTAATTTTAATTTGATCTATCAGCTGCCTTATAAATTGCGCTGCAAAACTTGTTATGCATCGCACCTTCCAACCAGGAGTGGGGAATGCATTAGAAAATACCTTTTTCCTTTATTTCTGATTCCTAAACAACAGAAATGGAAAAGTTCAGCAATAGTACCCTCAAAAAAGTTTCAACCAACCACACATTTATAAAGCACACTATGATTTTGCTTGACTGCTTGTTTCATGTTTCTGTGACCTCTAACTGGTTCCAGAGGTTTGGAGCTGTTAGGCATTTTGGCACCGTCATTCAAATTTACTACTGGATCAAGTGCATTCCGATTGTGGGCAATAAATATTTTCCCATTGGAAAATGGCTGTTGAGTCACCAGAATATTTGATCAGAATGAACTTGGCATGTGGTTAATTTGATTGGCAGTGGCTAAAATGCCAAACGCCTCCAACTTCTGGAGTCAGATAGGTCACAGAAACATGAAATTAGCTGTAAGGATGAGCATTTAAACAAACAATTTCTATTTGATTACCATTATGAAAGAAACATTAAACTAAAAATGAAACAAATGCCTTCCCTGTTCGTTGAAATTAAAGCAGTATGGGAATTTTGACATAAATTCCAAGGTGTACCAAAACAATAAATAAAAAAGCAAGAAATAAAGGTATTTTACAAATGCCAGAGCTTTGTTTATGGATTAGTTTTAGCTTTTTAAACTAGAGGAATACTTTAAAAGTGCCCATCAACCACCCTACAGGATTTTCCTATTTCAAAGCCCTTATCAAATAAATAACAATGGCCTTTACTTTCATTTGATATCTCTTTTTGTTGCCAAGATATTCAATCTAGAATCCACATGAAATGATGAAGTCAGCACAGGAATTCTGGAGTGCAGAAGCCATTAAATTATCAAATAGAGGATTTGCATGCCACATCCTGCACTATTTGCATTTTTTCCTGCAATTTGTCAGATGCCGTGTATATATATTTGCAACTATATGTGTTTGCAAACAGTAACCAGTCTTTTCGATCCACAGTCATTTTAATCCATGTTGTTTCGATCCACAATTGAAAAGGAAAAGTCATTTCGATCCACTATCTATACCTATTCGATCCACTTATAAACAGGTTCGTATTAATGACAAGTAACGATTACTTTTTTGATATTTAACAATACTAGACCAATATTTGCACAATTTCTTGGATTTCTTGGTAGAGCAAGTAGTCAGGGGATGGGGAAAAGGGAGCCCAAGCTATGTGTGAATATAATGCTTAGAAATCATCATTTATCATTGATCTTTGTGTTTTCTAGGTTTTCATTTATTTTTTAGATTGTTTTTATTTCCGATGAATGTTTAAGTAAAAAATGAAGTTCTTAGTATGAGAGTGTAGGATTTGGATTTGTTGTTTGAGCTCACTCATTCTCTTGGTTCACAATGATTTTTGTCCAGTCAGTGTTTCTTGTAGATAAAACTTTTTTATTTTATTTTACATAGCAAGTAAGTCAAACCTTTTGTTTCACAATCTAATCATATCAAACTTAACTTCATTTAATGCTGGAAGTGCGAGAAATTGGGAATAACTGACTCAGATACACAAATGCTTGTCTTAGATGCACAAATGCTTATTGTTTGATTGCGAATGACGCTAAGATGTGGAGTTTCTTTCAATTGAACTGAGTGATATGACTTTTTACTAATAAATAGTTCCAGAAATGGACTGATTTCCATTTTGATTTAGATGTTTTAATTAATTTAGAAAAAATATATATTAAAGCTATGTGAAACTAGCGTTTCAAAGGTGAAAGTCATTTTGATCCAAACTAATTGATTAATTACAAACAGCAAGCCTTTCAGTGTTTTTTCATTATTTGTAATATGAGTGCTAGTTAATGTTACCCAGCTCGACAGGTTTTTAAAAACCACCTAGAAATTTATATTAAATGAAATCTGTTCCACAGTTCATTATGAATTATATGTAGGCATGGGACTGTAAATTTTGTCCTGATCTGTCTTTGGTCCAAAGCATATGAGCTTACATGTATTACGAGCTAAACTTAGGCCTAGAGCAAACTTCTAACTTTCCATGCACCAAACTCATTAAAAACAAAGGAAATCAGGTGATTATGAGGCAGCATTCTTCGATGTAATTAAGTTCGGAAAGGAAAGTTTGATGTTTGCCCTAGGCTTTAGCCACTGATATTTCCATTCACTTTAGATATAGTTTTTAGATAATATAAACAAGATTTGTAAACAATGTACTGCTATTTTAGACTGTTGGAAGATACACAGCATATAGGACTTGGAAGGAAGGAAGGAAGCTTCTTTATTTTGCCACGGTAAAAACATCAGTCGATTGCCTAAAAATATTTAAAAGTAAAGATTTACGA